GCTAAACTGGGTAATCTTGTCGTTTTTATTTCCTTGGTTTACTCGTGTACCAAAAAAGCAAAAGTTCTTACTCGATCGCGTTTCGTTTGGCTCTTCGGTTGTCGAACCCCTTTCTTCGGCTCCCTTCTTGTTTTGTGGACACGCCAAATTCGGGAATATTGGCACGTCGGGCGACCACCTTCACTAGAGACCTTACGATTTTAGGACGGCAACCGCGACGGCGACGACCAAAACAAACTCCTTCAAATAAATGGTAGTCGATAGTTCGTCGTATATTATCAATCGTATGAATTTAATACAGTCTTAGAAGTTGAAGACATGGTTTTCATGGTTGGGAAGAGTTGTGCTAAATCCAGTTTGAAGTTGCACTTGTTGTGGTTTGGAATACAGCCGTGTATCAACACGGGAAAATCTGTGATTTGGCGTAGTAAACAGAGCGAGGACAATGTCTAAATTATTCATTTATTGTAATTACTCAATTCTTTTCAATTATCTATTGTATTGGTAGCCGTTGCCGTTGCGTTGCCGTCCTAAAATCGTAAGGTCTCTAATATCTCTGCAAAACGCGAGAAGGGGGGTAGGAGTTTCTTCACCGTATATCTCTTTGCATTGCCAAACTTTCCGTTTCCATTCATTCTGTGCCCATGCAGGTAGTTTTTCAACCAGCTTAACTAGTTCTCTGGCACAATCGAATAATTTTATTGCGGTGTACTTATTCATGGCCGCCTCGGCTTGATCCAGGAAGTCGCTAAAATGTAAAAGCTCGCGATTACTATCTCTTCCAATTTTTGGCCACTCGGTTAGCTTTTTGTCAATACTTGCGGTGAGAACGCTGCCGTTTCCATACCGGTATTTCAACTGGTCTCAAGCTCGACGATAAGTAGTATCAGCATCGTGGTGCAAGTCCTGATAATGTTCTACCATCTTCAGTGGTTCTCCCTTAGAACTAATGAAGCTTTCACATTGTTCCAGTCGTTCAAAACGGTTTGAATACTGTTCGGGTTTAAACAGTTTTAGTAATTCGTTTAAACCCTGATTAAATTATAATAGTTTTGTTTGCGGAAACACCACCTAAATTTATTACTGCAAATCAGTAAGCCCGGATCTTCATCAGTGCCAATAATATGTGACTTGTTTAATTCACACGCTCTGTTTATATACAAAAGTGTCGTGATCTGTTGGCTCGCGTCATTTGAAATTTAATTAAACGGCACATCAACACGTCATTTCAAACGTAGTGAAGTGATTCCAATTAACGCGCTCGCATCCAAGACAAGAGAAATTAATTTTGCACATTAAAGAGAGCACGCCACGTACTATCTAGTGGCTTTCCTTCCAATCTATAGTATTGTGCTTCTCAATTTCAATTGACTGTCTCATTTTGCGAAAGAACTTATGTCGTCGAAGCACTAGAGAGAGAAAACTAAACCAAAAAGGTAAAGAATACATTTTAGATTTAAAGAGAAATATATTCAAACAAACAAAGTGTTGCCTAGTTGATGAAGATCCGGGCTTACGGATCGAAAGCTTTGCAGTAATAAATTTACGTGGTGTTTCCATAAACAAAACTATTATATTTTATCACCATGCAACATACAAAGAACTTATTCCTGATTAAATTATTTGACCAAAGACTGTAGTTGTTCAATTTCGTATTTAACCCTCGATTTTTTCCGTTTTAAGCGACGACAATTTATCAACTAGGCAGCACTTTGTGTGTTTGAATATATTTCTTTTTAAATCTAAAATGTATTCTTTACCTCTTTGGTTTAGTTTTCTCTCTCTAGTGCTTCGATGACACTCTGTGACTTCGCTTAAACGCCTTGATCCTGTGTGGTTTATTTGCGTGTCCGATTTCGATCACGTTTGTAAAGTTATTCTCGTTCAAAACGGGACTATTCTGGCCGGTTGGTTCTGTCGTTGCTTCATCTGCCTGGGTTTCCATAACGTAATTTCTTGCTGTTTTGGGTCACCGAAAAGATATTTCACTGTGCATGCCTGCCTCACGGCTGGTTAAACTGGTTGTGGGGCCTCGAGTTTCAACGCGTTTTAAAAAATTTATTTTCAGTCAACATCGGTGCTAAATACAAATACAAATACACAGGAATTACACGGATAAATACAAATTACTGAATACTGGACAGAAACAGATAAAAATGCTGACAATCTACTTACAAATATCTATGACAGGACACTGGTATCTGGCGAAAAACGAGGAACAAGTCGGCAACACAACAAAGCGCCCCAAAGTTCGATATCGCTAAGCTACTTCAATCAAAAAGTGCGCGAAAAACTCGGAAATCCTGCTACACCCTCCCCCCCCCCCCACCAGGCAATGTTGGTTCAGGTAAAGTGGATTTGAAACACATGTCACCTAAATACCAACATTTTATAACAGGGGAGGGGGATTAAGTTTGAAAATTTAATAAGTCTCCTAATTTTTTTCCAGGTTTGTAGATTAGCTTTAATTTGTAACTTAGTCTGATGATAAATTTGAAAAATTATGCTGTTGAATCTTTACTCCTCTTTATCTTTTCTCAAATATTGAGTTCAAGACGGAATTTCTATTTCGAGTATGTTTCATACTTTATTGCATTAAGTTATCGGCTGGAAATTGAATTTTACGTCTAGTTAAAGTTAGTCGCCGGCAAACTTCACTTGCGCAACTGGCCAACTGGCGCTTTAGCAAAACCGGCAAAACTGGCGCTCTGATAAAACTGGCAAATTGGGGCTCTGGGAAAATTGGCGCTCTAGGAAACCAGGGGCCGGTAGTTTAAAAACGTAATTGTATAATTAGCGCGTTACTAACTGTAGTTAAAACCTTAACAATGATTAGTTAACTACACGACTTATAATAATTGCGTTGCACAAAACGTAGTTTATCGGATGATTAACTAATCACCGAGTGAACTTGCGTGGGTCTTCCGTGGGCCGTTTTAAACACAAAATTACATAAATTAAGCAGCGATTAATGACCGCCGACAAGATTTTTAACATCATTGTGGACTCGCATTTTACAAATAGGCAGGAATTTTATTCAAAACAGTGAAAAATAAACTAGAAAACAAGGAAAAATCAACGAAGAAAGCCAATTTTACTTGAGATGTCTACGTTAAACCAAGTATAACTGTTTGGCAATTATGTCAGTATCATATTTCTTCGTGTAATGGGCCCTACTACGTCGTCTTCGAGAAATCATCACGTTCAAAAATATATTTTGTTTTCGCCGAAAAACCAAAGCGATAGAGTTTTAAGAATTTATATTGTCAGAAAATAACCGCAGGAAGATAGCGATTGAAAATCCTGGGTAAGCATTACTTTTCATTGTTGTTTTACTGAAAAATGTTGTATAAGTGACATTTTTAACTACGTTTTGAGAATTAGTTAACGATACCCTAAAGCATCGTCAACTTTAACTACGTTTTAACTGCAGTTAACGCTACCTACTTTATTATACAACTGAGTTAACTGCGTGGTTAAGGTTAACCACTATTTAACTACAAAATAGTGATTAAAAAAGTGATTAAGACTTTTATACAAAGGGCCACTGGCGCTCTCGCAAAAATGGCAAAACTAACGCTCCGGCAAATGGACAAAAAAAACAAAAAATTAATGACGATCTTTTTGGCGTCCGGTATTCAGAGTCGATGACGTGAGACATACTGTGTAGTTTGTATAATTTTCGTATATCATTTTTTATAACCAGAAATATTTTTATAACACAGCTTAATTTTTATAACACAGCTTAATAACCTACAGCTTAATTGGATTCTTGGCGGCTGAGAAGACTCTGGAATCGATTTAGGAGGGAGGGTGTGTGCAGGGGGGGGGGAGGGGTTACTAAGTTGGTCTAGCAATATGAGCTATGTACACGTGCACATCTCCTAAACTTTGGTTAACAATGCATACAGACTACAGTATATACTCAAATTAGGCAAAAGATCCCACTTCCACAATAAAAAATGTCAGATCTGTCGACTATAGCAATACTAACTACACAAATTTCTAGCGGGATTCGCGGGCATGCTCCTCCGGAAATGTTTTGAAATCTGGAGTCTTGAAATGGCATTTCCTCCGTTCTGGAGAAAATTTCATATCACTATCTCAACGATTGAAACTGATATTAACAACACTTAAAATACACATTAATATTCAATAGACGTTTTGACCAATCGGACGATCTTCTTTAGACACGTGAATAATCTTCTATATTCCACAAAATACTGTACATTTCTAAAGCCCGGGAAGGAATTTGAAATCGGCCCCAGGGAAATATTGGGTACAATAGAAGAACAATGGAATGCAAATGAACAAGAAGCATTATATAATGGCACATGTGGTATTATAAATTGTCCCATAAATGAGCTTCAAAAACCGTTTTGACAGGTTGACAGCCTGCCGGTATGATTTGATGCTCACCTGATAGATTTGATACCCACCTCCTATATTTAATATTTTGGGTAGTGACAGTTTTCTCTGGCTTTTTTGGTTATTTTTACTTAAAACATCTGGAAATTTTCATCAGAGTTCAAAGATTATGAGATTCAAAATGGCGTCAGTGTATATTTGCCAATAAAAGAACACGATGACCTTAAATCAAGATGAAACCTCTCCTGTAAGACATAAAATAGTTTATATATTTTGTAAAGTCTTGTTTATGGGACACAAATGTTACGACATAATTTTTCGTAAACCGCAATTGATATCCAAACGAAAATCTATATCCAATGGATTGGATATCGATTTTCCATTGGATATCAATTGCGGTTTACCTCAAAATCAGGTCTGAACTTATAATCTTTGACATTCATTTGCACTACACATGAAATCAAACAAAAACACACCAATATTTTATTTTAACTCAGGAAGACAACAATATATATTTACACACAAATCATTTGCTAAAACTAAATGTACAATTTTTAAATAATAGCACACAGTTTACTTCCCAAAATTAATTTAAAGATACAATAGTTAAACACTGAGCCCTACATCATAACCTTTGCTTGCCTGCTAGTATCTAGTGAAACGATGCCGTGTATCCACTCATATGACGTTTCAAAATCTAACAATTCGAGCTCTTCTAAAATATTTGAAGAAATCTCTTTAATTGTTTCAGCTGAACTACTTGTAGTGATAGCGGTAGCTCCACCAGTTGTAGCACTAGTTTCATAATTTACATAAAACTTGTGGTCCCAGCACCTTACGGACATTCCTTTCTTGCTCTAAGTTCTATTTCTCATAGCTTAGCAAACCATTTGAACGATGGCCCGTTTTATCACGTATCAATTTTTTGTCTATCTGATGTTGAAACAACCTGGAAGGACACGTCACTCTTAAGCATTGTGATGTCTTACGTTCCAATCCAGCTTCGCTACACAAGTCTGGTAAGACTTTGTTTAGTGTATTAATACCTGCAGGTATTTCACAAAAATTTACCACTTCGCTGTTTACATTTGGCTTAAATAAAATGCCTCTACGTGGGTAGCTAGCTCTTTGATTTTTTCCATATAAATTGCATAGCAATTTGCAATATACGGCTTATAGTTGATTTCTTTTCCAGCACAACAAACATGATATTCACTACTTTCGGCTTGTACTTTAAATCTTTCAACCCACTGTGATAGGTTTCAAACGCACTTTCGTCATACTGTAAGTAACTAATTGCGAGTCTACCCTTAAATTTGAATATCCTAAATTTCGATGTTCTTTTGAACGCAAGCCAAACAATTTGCCATTATAGAATAAATTATCCTAAATAATGACTTTGCTGAGTGAGAGCCTGGGAGCCCCTTTTTCCATAAAGCAACTTCATCTTCTTCTGATATTTCATCTCTATCCTCCATTTTTGACTTGATAGCTACACCGTCTAGAGTTGCCTTCCGCATCTCTGCATCCAACGTACGCACGCCTGAATATTTCTAACATTGAAAATCAAAGAAAAATTAAATTTACAAAGGCAAGAATCCCGATTCGAATCAGTCCACATCACAGTCATATATCATATTAAGTCACAAAATGCAATATATTATAAAATAGTCGCTTTTAACTAACCTTGCTTCGTCTTGATTTAGCAGTCAAATGGCGTTTTCACATTCGCCTAAATGCCGTTAAAGACCAGCAGCAATCATATACAGACTTCTCCCCGGATGTCTCTCTCCGTTGGCCTTGGCCACTTCCTGGACAAATTTTGTCAGCCAATAGTTTACGGTTTCCACACTCATATTGGCGATATTCGTGTCTAATGTCTGCACTTTTCGATGTCAATTTTAAACGACCGCTCCTCTATACGGGGATTTTTGTTCACTCGTGCAACTTACCATTCGGAAAAGACTTTGAAAGCCCACTTTGTAGAGCTTCATGTAAACTTAGGGATACACTCTTCCAATATCTGTTTTTCTTCTTGTTCAGATTTCGGCGGCCTGAACCGCCGCTTTGGAGCCATGTTGTTATTCACTACAGTTTGCACGTACCACTCAAAGGACTCGACTGATTCCACGCCACAAAAATTATTGATGTTACGCATTGTAATTAGTTACGCAATGTAATTCACTTTTATTGTCTCAAGTCCCAGATGAACTAACCTTTAATGTTTTTTTCCATCTCGATTGATCAAAACGTCTATTGAATATTAAGGAGTATTTTAAGCTATTCAAAACACTCGTTGTCGTGTCTTATCAGGTATAAAACGCTCGGCTGCGCCTCGCGTTTATATCTGATAAAACACTCCAACTCGTGTTTTAAATAGTACATGACCACTGTTTCCAGCCTGACCGCTGACGAAAAACAATTCATCTGCATTTATCTACAGGCTGTTTGACTGTCTTCAATTTCTAAATTGTGTCCTCCACGTCCACCTCCCTCCCTCTAGCGCCGCCGCTAATGCTGCCAACATAACTGCCGTTGCCGCGGCAAAAGTGGCGGATATTTTGGCTTTAAATTAATATAATTAAACAAAATCAGTGACCCCCGAATTTTGTGTTTAAAACTGGCTGTACACACCAGGTTCCAACGATTAAGATAAGCACATGCATAAGAAAATACAAAAGCCAAAACAAAAATGCAGTCAAGCATGCGACATTAACTTTAAGCACGAACTTAAAATACAAATATCCAAGTCTAAAGTTCTAATGTTTAAGTTCCATTCCTGCTTATGCTTATCTCACTCGCTTGAACTACTATTTGTTGACGTACCTCGCCTACTTAGTTATTTGTTGATAAACATGCATGATTAGTGTGCTTTCATAGGATACGTGACAACTGAATGCAGGATGCAACCAAATACCTAAATTTTCCATTAGCTCTTGTTGAATAGTTCTTTCTTCTTTATACCCGTAATTTACTTTGGAATTGTTACCGTTTCTCTCGCTTTCACGTCTTGAAAGCTGCATTGAATCACCAACAGCTCCATCGCTAAACAATTCGTCTGATTCCATCATGCATGAATACAAAACCCCAGGGAAACGCTAAATAGACAGAACGGTATAAAGTGAGGATTCGAACTAGGATTACTTGTCTCCACAAAAATAAAGTGTCTAGGTAGTAAGGCTAAAAAGAGCTTTGTTCACAATATTAAATCTGATCAGGCCTGTTTACGAAAATTGCGAATTCTTCAACATATTTTTCTCCTTCACACGCCAGACCTGCATTCAGAAGGCATTCCGGCACAGATGTGTCTCAATGTATTGCACGGTAAAAATCGCTAACTGTAAGTAAAGCAAGGGAGGATCACGCAAACAATCTAACTAATCGTCAACATAATCCAAAACAACTGTTGCAAATGCAATTTTTGAAATTTGAACCTCGGAAACGCCATGTGGTGCATGCTCTAAAATTTCACCTTAATAAAGCCATATTTTAGACAAAAAGTTACAAAAACACAATAACTGAAGGTCTTATTTTAGACAGGAAGTTACAAAAATACGTAATAACTGTAAAATGTTGAAACAACAAACCAAATCATACCAGACCTACACGGTTAATTAATGTATACAAAGTTTAAGACGTGCCTTCCACACTATATTAATATGTAATTTAATATCATACCAAACATGTGTATCATATAACACAATTACAATCAATGCACCAAATCAATGGGCAGTATGATATATTATATACGGCAAACAGACACATTTATATACTGAAAGAATTCGATTCGGGTTAACAGAAATTGTAATTGTGAAAACTACCTAAAAATACAAGCCGATCTTCGAGGTTTTGCTTGTATTTTCCAAGTAAGGTTTGCATGTATATTTCAGTAATTCGGTTGAATCCCTCTCAATTCCAAGTTTTGTGTTGTCTTCGAGCCAACGGGGCGGAGCGACTTTTCGGGCGTAAGCGCGCCCGGGGCGAGAAAACTAATTCCGCCGGGCTATTTACACCCGGGGAAACGAATACATTAGCGAAGTCTAAAGTTTATCATTAGGGAGCTTAAGCATGTAGGACGGCAACGCGACGACGACGGCCAAAACAAATTCCTTCAAATAAATGATAGTGAAGAAAACTTGTCGTATTTTATAATTCGTATGAATTTAGTACAGCATAAGAAATGGAAACATTGGCTTTAGGTTTGGAAAGAGTTCTGCTGAACCGAATTTTAAGTTGCACTTGTTACGGCTGGAAATGCAGACGTTGTATAAAAGACATGAAAATCTGTGATTTGTCGTTGTTCTCAGACGACTACGTCTGAAACTCCCCCGGGCATTTAATTATCTGTTTTCATTGACTCATTGTATTGGTTGCCGTCGTCGTCGTGTTGCCGTCCTACATGCTTAAGCTCCCTAATGATCGCGGACGTGGGTGACCAACGTGGGTGGTCATCCTCACTGATCTCAAAATATGTGGCGGACTGTCATGAATAACGAACACTAATGATTGGCCATCATCACAATATTTTCCGATGGTAGCCATGCGACTGTTTACAAACATGGACGTCCGACAACATATTTTTTTACAAAAGTGATGGACTTTCCCATTTTGACGGTAAGTAACATACAATAACTCTATACTGGAAGTTCTATATCTTGTTTATATATCATTATTACGAGTGTTCACCAAAAATTTTGAATCAATATGATTAAGTCCTCCTGAGTTACAGCGTCTTGCATAACAAACGTGATGACGTCAGCATTATTTTCAGCCTGAGGCCAATTAATTGTTTTAGTATAAATATTTGATAAATAAAACAAAATATGCAAGTTAGGGACTGCTCATTATTTATTGTACAGGCGGGGGGACTGAGGAGAAACTTTGCAGTTATAAAATTTTTTCGTTGCCCCCTTCTTAAGACAAGTAGAATTTTCAAAGCCCCCTCCAACAGGCCAAACAAGAACATAAACTTCGGTGCCCCCCCCCCCACACACACACACACACACACACACACACACACACACACACACACACACACACACACACACACACACACACACACACACACACACACAATTTAAATTCAGAAACAAAACTGTTTTCGACCGGTTGCAGTGTTTTTGTACATGCACGCTTTCAAAATGTCTTTCTGTGTGATTTATTGTTTTATTATAATACAAAGTTGTTTCTCTCGATTTCTGCTTAGAATATAAACACCATGATGGAATGACTTTTTCACCAGACTTAGAATTAAAAAATAGTTTCTGTTTAGCATTAAGTTAATTTGTTCAGGAAATGGCTCAGAAATTTGGTAAAATGAAACGTAAAACTATATCGTTCGAGATATAAAAGTTTTAATACACTTTTCACTTTATAAGTTTCAAAAACACACTAGTACAATATAGCGACAAGACACCATATAGCACAACGAAAACACGACATGTTACTGTGACATATTCTTCATGTTTGGAAAACATAATGATTTTGTCAGCAATGCGAGGGTTTCTGGATGCATGTATTTTCTAGTTATTAATTTAATAGCCCTACCAATGCTGGCACAAACGTTTGATGTTACATTTATATACCATTTACCTCCGCAAAAATAATCCCCGAGCCAACGATCCGAGCCAACGTTCCGGGCGTAAGACCGGGCATGGGTATGTGAAAACGAAGCGAATTTCAAAGTTGTCCTCCATTTCTTTTACTTCATGGACAGTTTTCGACGTCCTGCTCATGGGTGAGTACAAGATTTGGCCAAATAATTGTTTTTCATTTTGAGAGGGGTATTTTGCTATTTTACAGCTGCGATTTTTTGTTTTAAATTTCGTGAAAAGTTTTGAAAACTACAAACTAACGGGTTTTTTGTTCGTACAAAACGGGTTATTTTAACTGGAAATAAGCCCGCAGTTTCATGAATTCGTGGCTGTTAAACCGTGAAACAAAGTTTGTAATAACAAATAACTGTTTTGAATCGATATTTTTAATAATTTAGTCGTTGTTGAGCCGCTTTGGGTAAGTGTAAGCATTTCAGTTGTAGAATTCCATGCCGTACTTGTTTGCGTTGTCGATTTTATTCATATCTGAGCAATTTTTAAGCCATTGTTAGGGAAAGTACATGTATCATGCCGAGAGTGGGGGATAAAGATGCTAAGGGGGAGGGGGGCACCGAAATATTTTCTTGCATTAAAGGGAGGCTCTGAAAGTTCCCGATATACCGAAGGGGGAGGGGGATATAAACCTTTTAAAGTTTTGGTCCACCAGGGGCCTGGAGTGTCAGTCCCACCATAGTTAATAGAATAGATGGTTTGAAAGCTCATTAGAATAACAATATAACTCATTACCTCTGTTCTTTTTTTCTGGTCTTTTACCGTCACGTGCGTATTGTATTTTTGCCCGACTAACCAATACCAATGTTACCTATCCATGACTCAGACAATAGGGTAAATTGAAAATTGCTATTGGTGGACTTGGCAAAAAATTAATACACATGTGACAGCGAAGGAACATAATTATGTAATTATGAATAATCGTTGACTAACATAGATAATGAGTTATATTGCTATTCTAATGATTTCCAAATATATATATATATATATATATATATATATATATATATATATATATATATATATATATATATATATATATATATATATATATATATATATATGAAAGGGTTTCAGGCATCATGTCTGGGATATATTATGTGAAGGTTCCTTGAGCATGTTCATTGACCGTGTCTTTGTTTATCACTGAATGTAACGCTTCGAGAAAAATCCTTTGTGTATAATTTGTAACTCCTTTCTCGAGTATCACGGCGTCTGACTTAGCGGCATTGTGTCTTCAATTGCAGAAAAGATCTTTTTGCGAACTCCTGGCTTGTGCCCAACCATCTAGAACACCAACATCTCTTCAATTCACCGATGTACGATGTCCTCTGATGGTCTCGTCTTTTGTATGCGAAATATATTTGCCAACGTACGTACAGGTTTAAATGCTACCCGAACTCCAACCTTGGCTAGAACACTTTTTACTTTTTCAGAGACACCTTTGACGTATGGGAGACACGTCGAACCTCGTATTTCATTTTCCATGCGTTTCGATTTACTTGTGTACGATCATTTATAACTTCCTCAATGAATCTCTCCTTATAACCATTTAAATCTAATGCGTGCAAAACATTCTCAGTCTCTTCTGCCTGTAAAGTCGAGTTAGATGGAATAGTCTTTCCTCGATATATCAACGTCTTTATAACAGCTTTTTATCATTAAAGGAGCAGTGTCACCGTTTGCGCAACTTTTCTGCGCATAGTGAAATTTGATATCGTTGGGCCAACGTTTTCAAACTATTTCACTATCATATTTCACTATTCAAGATGGCGTCCTTGCAGGGAGCTGTGCGAGGAGGTCATCGTGAAAATGCAGGACGAAAAAGGAAATATGAAGGCGAAAATCGAAGAAAATCGTGGGGAGGTCAACACAAGAGGATCTATATTTATTGAATAACATTTTTGAAGCGTGGAAAAGCTCAAAAAGCGAGGCGGGATACGACAAATGTAGTCATAGCGACTTCGCCGCGCATCTGTTATCTTTAGAGTATAGAAGAAGGTACGGATAATGAAATTTGTATGTTTAAGTTTGATTCAATTTGTAAGACGTAATGAAATGTGTGCTGTTTAACTATTTTAGGTCGGAAATAAAGCATTCACAGCGACGAACGCAAAGTGAAGCAACCACCGAATGTGCTACAGAAATAACAGAACAAGCCATTCAAAATATTTATCAAGGTAATCCCTATGCGTCCACAAACATAAATAGCCCAAAATGATATACTATTACAGTAAACAAGCAATAGAATGCTATATCAATGTTGATGAATTGTCAAATGGGTAGTTCAATGAATGGATGTAATGCATTGAACATGGCCGATTACAATGGATTACAATTTCTTTAAGGCCAAGAAACATCCACGCCGTTAAAAACTGGAGAAAGCCTACAGCTTCCTTCTCCATCTGAATCCCCTGTTATTGGAGATGAAGTCGAGGATAATACCATTGCAACAATTGATGCGAATACAAGCTTTGCTCGGTCTGATGCAACCCTTCTTGACAGGTACTGATTGTAAAGTAATATTTGTAGTTTATTATGGAATTGTGAATGTGCGTAGCAACAATATATTTGTTGTATCTCAAATTATTTGTATCTAGTTCTACTATAACCAATGCAATAAATGTGTCCATGTTCACGGATGACGAGGATGATGTCAGTGATGGCAGTCTGGAAGATGCTGCCAGTTATATCAGGTAAAATATGTCAGGTCATAAATACTTTTACAAGAATGGAACTAATTGAGTCATAAACATCATTGTCCCTTACAGCATACATGATCTTACCAAATCAGCTCTCGAAGATTTGAATGCAGAGAAGCAAAGTTATTCAGAGTATGTTATCTGTTTGAAGCGATGTGGGAGTATGTGTGGGATGTGTTATGTTGACTCTGGGCAGTGGAAGATTAGTCTGTTGTTGCTACTGTGCCTGAGAACAAAAAAGATTTCATGCTGCCTCTCTAGAAATTTTGACCACTCAGGGAAGTTATCTGACATCAAATTTCACACAAACCATGTCAAAAACCCTATAGATAAACTACAAACCTGGCAAAAA